TTTTTTTTTTTTTTTTTGGTAGATAGGGTAATCAACGACTGATTTATTGGTATTTATTGGGTAGATAGGGTAACAAATCGACTGATTTATTGGGTAGATTTTGTTATTCTCTTTCCTTTATTTGTATTTATTGGGTAGATAGGGTAACAAATCGACTGATTTATTGGGTAGATTTTGTTATTCTCTTTCCTGTTTTTTGGTATCAAAATAAATATTTGTAATTATTTTTGGTATCAAAACTTATAATTTTCAAATTGTGTGTAATCAAATATTTTTAGATGGAACACCATAAATTCGGTATGATTTTATTAAATTAGACTTATAATATTTTAGACACTTGAAACAAATTGTTTAGACTTTTTTTTTACATATTCGTCTATATATATATACATATACACATACACATAGTTGATGTTAAATTTAAATATATGTAGACATGTTTTATTTACAAAATAGTCTAGAAATTTTTTTTTACACAATGTTAAATTCAAATGTTTTTAGATATGTTTTTCTTCTAAAATTATTTAGAAAAGTTGTAGGTGATTTCACATCTTTCAAAAATAATATAGAAAAATTTGAATACTATTACATATACTAATATAATATTTTAGGTGTTCTTAATATTAAACATACAAATTTTATATTCTCTTATACAAAATAATGTAAATTTTATATTCTATTATACAAAATAATTTTACATTGTTTGACCATGAATCTTTAATTTATAATTATTAAGTATTGTTTATTCTCCTCAAATAGGATCAATAGTAATTTCCACTTCCGTCACTGAGTGTCTCAAACTCGAGATTTATTTATAATATTGTTAATCTAATATTGTTCCCGTGCATTGCACGGGGTGTACACTAGTGTCAATTACAGAGTGAGTATTGTTTAGCTTCGAGTTCTTCAAAATTGTGTTTCTTTTTAGAGTTACACTAAAACAGAAGTCATTCTGCACTGAAAAAGCTTACAATTGAGGAATAACATATGTTTTTTTTTTTTTTCTGGTGCAAAGCCAAAAAACCTTGTACGACTCGTGCAAATTTGTAATCTATAAAATTATTATCATACACAATGAAGGACCTAAGCTTGATGACTACAGCCGGAGTATTCCCAAATAAATTCGATCCAAAAGGAAAAACACTGGATTGCAATACACATTCTTGAAATAAGAAAAAACCAAACTGAAGAATAACAATAAAGATCCCGACACACATGCCGCATTGTTACATCAAGACGGTTCCTAGCCTTCATATATCAATAAAAGGTCGAATCCCAAATACAAAACGTAAGCGAACAAAATAAAACTAAATGTTTATCAGTATCAGCAAGATACTGCTTTATGTCTCCAACTTCTGCAACAATAGTCAGCACCTGGATTTGAGAAGCTTTCAGCAAGTACGTAGTTTCATAGCAGCAGCTTCCTGCAGATTCTGAAAAGACAATTATGACCCAACCCCCACCCTCCCTCATCCCTCGGAGCTAACGACTTTTTTTTTATGAATTTAACAGAAATGTGTTCTAATACTATTCATTACGAAATAGAGAATGAAAGAAAGAAAGGCCGATTTAAGAATCCTTCATAGTACCGTGAAATGCTGCGAAGGTTAAATCTGTTCATATATTTATATTTTCCTTCTTTTTTCCTATCGCCAGACAATCTTATAAGAAAAAGTTAACTAAACATGTACACTTGTTCTGGCAAGCTAAAGCTAATATGAAGAAAAATGAAATAATAGTTTTGGAAACTCGATGTTCAAGTTACAGGAGACCACAATGGGTCAATCTTAAGGAAGCTAAATACGCAAACGTTTCCTTTGACCACCCTCTTGAGTTGATTCCTGCACATCAAAGGTAGTTTAAGGGTTAAATTATGTTTTCAAGCAAAGCAGCAACAGAGGACAGATGAACATTTATGTCAATCAAGGAATCTTTCAAAGACATCCTTACTAGCAAACTAATAGCATCAAAATCGAATACTCTCGAATAAAATTCAGACAGATTGTGGACCTCATTGTTTTGCAAAAAGAGCATCATTGCTTTGCACTATAGATTTCAGTCAAGGTAGGACTTTGCCAGTACGTATATAAAGTTTGAATCACATCTTTAGCTACTTCAACACAAAATATGGAAGATGTAGTGTCCCAGCTCTAATGTCACACACAAACAATAATATGCATTACACGTGTTCATATTGAGCGAGAAATTAAGAAGCATATGTTCAATATCTTCTTTAAGCGTCATTCCTACCACTGAAATAAAATGGCGACAAACAGACTTTGTTGGGCAAATTCTGAATAAAGCAGCTCCTCATGAGTTACTTTAATAAGATGACCCAGCTCCCAAGAGAAATATACACACAAACAACTGAACAAGAGAACAATAATTGGGGAGAACACGCAAGATTATTATCCCAAGTCCAAAACAAATATTTAGAATATCTCATGCTTCTCATAATTCTTGAACTCAAAGAGAGAAGAAAAATCAACCCAAGGCAGTAGAATAAATAAACAACAAATCACACCATCAGAACCAAAAAGATGCAGCATGACAAGAACAAAAAGAAAAGAAGAGTAACATACCCCCTCATCCTTAACATCCTCAGAAAAATGCTCATGCGAGTCGGACCTGCACTTCGCGTGCACTATAGGGCCCAACTGCGACCGGTCCATCCCCACCGTAGGCCCACTGGAAGGCCCATACATATAGATGGCCCCTCTGTACATCCACTCCTCCGTCTCGTCGCTGTAAAAATCATCAAATGGCTCCCCACACAGTGCACATGTGTTCTGATCCTCCTCAGCCGGCACAGCTACCTCCTCTTGATCCACCTTCTCCACGACCTTCTCAGCTGGCTGAAACCCAGGGCCCGCTTCGGGTCCCAGGGCCTCGGCCCCACTCAGCCACAATGAAACGCTTACGAACCACTTGGGAGAGGGCATTGCCTTCCGGTTCTTTAGTGTGCGGTTCTTGCTAACGTGCCAGTCCATGTGCTTGCGATGCTCGTCTTGGGTCCGGAAACGGAGGCCACAGGTGGTGCACTGCCTGGGGAGATCCCCGTACAGGGAGGTTATCGTGGGCTCGTGACGGACCTTGAGGGCGTCCTGATCGAAATCCACCCCAACGGATTCCTATATATTGTACAGTGTCGCGTGAAAAATAATAATGAACAGATTGATAAATAAAATATGCACAGCCACCCACTTCAATTAGATGAGGGGCAGCTTAAAGTAAGCCAAAGCCTGAGGTTGAAAACCAATTAAAATGATAAAATCAATAAAACAGAAGAAGAAAACTTTCTAATAGTAATATTTTAATAAATCTGAAGATGTTTCGTTTGCATTTAGGGATCGTTCTTTGCAGTTCGGGCCGTAATTGAGATAATAACAGGATTAACGGAGGAAGTAAGTGCAGTACCTGCTTCGGCAACGATATCAGACCTTGGGCCACTAACGAGCTAATTAGACCTGAAAACGCAGTTCCTCCACCTGTAGGTGTAGACGCAACTTGACCAACATTTTGACCGACAGGTAAAAACTGATTTGTGTTGTGAAAAGGACCCCTAGGTGCATGAAAAGGCATAGTAGGAATTGGGAAGGATGACTGCATGCCTTGAACTAAATTGGATGAAGTATTGCCAATAGAAGGGCCTTGTGGCTGTGCCAAGTATATATGAGTAAAAGGCCGTGCCATTGTGCTTGATGGCATAGGTACTAAAGGCAATGATAAATTCTGTGACGGGTTTGGCTGTAATAGAGGTGGTCGTGCAGCGTTCTGCAGATTTACGGGAATTGGCATTGGCCGGAAATTAGGAAATTGAGATGTGCTTGCAGTGTTACCCAAAAGCTGATCAGAGCGACTTTGATCAGCAAAAGCATTGTGTGCGCCAAATTGACCTCGGATTTGCATATGCAGGGGAATAGAGGGGTGTGAGGGCATAATGTGTGAATTTTGGGAAGTTGAGGGATTCCAAGGTTTTGTTAGAGCTGATGACTCGGTGACTCGAACTTCGGGAGTAGATGAGCTGTAGGTGGGGTTAAACGTCAAATCCATATTTGGGAAAGGCTTCTGCAGACCAGCTGTCAAAAAGCTTCTGGTTTCTGGTAGCGGACGCACTTCGTTTGCATTATAATGGCCCTGACCCAGAAAAATCAAGGATTCCCGAGTAAAATTAGGGGTACTCTGACTTGCCATATCATTAGGGATGGCAACATGTTGCAGAACTCCAGCAACCTTGTCATGGCCGTCCTGTGAAATTACAAAGGAAACAGAGTTGCACAAATACCATGAAACGAGGGTTTGACTTCAGAATAAACAACTTTGTATATACATAAAATCACAAACACAAAACGGATATAATTAACAAAAGAAAATGTAAAGTTCCGCAAAGATTAGTGATTAATCTAACAGTTGAACTCAAAACATCCTCAGGAATAGAAGAATTAGTAGTAGAAGCCGATTGAGCTTTGGAAATGTTTCCTCCGTAATCACTCACCAAACGAGCAGCATGGTTTGCCATAAACCCATGTCTTGTTGACAAATTCCCAGAAGACTCTAGAGATGAATAAGCATTATTAGATTGCCTTCGATCGGCTAAAGCTGGGGCAACATCTTCCCAGTTAAACTCTTCCTCTTCAGTATTTTGCCACGGCCTTAAGGAATCACTGTACTCTGCACCATTCATGTCCAGCTGCTCGGGCTTATCATGGTTACGGTTCGGCTTTCTCTCTCTCTCGTCCATACCATATGCACTGATCAAAGCACGAGGCCCACGCAGGTCAAGACCACTGCTGTAGTTATATGCGGTGGATGTTCTGAGCTTTTGGCTGGGGTTGACCGGCTGCCAGTCTCCCTTTCGCAACTGGCTTGTCTCCTCATCTCGTGGAATCCCATTGTATGGCCCATATTCGGTCCCGGGGTGGGACGGTGAGGCCCGAACGGAATTTCTTTTTGGGGAATTATCCGCATTGAAGTCTTCAACTGAAGGCGATAACGACCCGGCACGCGCAATTCTGAAAGGAGAAGAGGATTTCACGAGTCTGGTGTTAGGTGGCATGGACTTTTTTACAGCATGAAGACTGGAAGTCGTAAGGTCTGCACGACCAGTTGAGCTCACTCCTTCAGTTCCAAACTGCAAATTTGGAATAACTTGGAGTTATGGAAAATGTATTCACTATCTGGAAAATGTATTCACTAGACTATCCAAGGCAGGTTCCTATTTAATATGGTTTTAGTACGTTACCGTTCCACCATCGATATAAAACATCACTTGTAGACTAAATAAAATAGATTATACACTATGAAGCATTACATAGACTAGAAATATTATATCAATTTTAGTTTGTAACCAAACATGCCGTATTGTAATACGACAAAACACTGACACACTTTGATGAAAATAACATCACATTTCACAAAAAATAAGCTGAAACAAGAATTCATAAACGAAAGGAAAAAAAGAGCCCACAGTATTTGAACACATGGAATCATAACAAATTTCAACAAATGAAGGGTGGCTACACTTATTCATGTAAAAATGTATAATATTTTTCTTTCATCCATCTAGTAGCAACACTTGATATCCTTAGACATGCGCATTTGGCGAAAATAAACTTCAAAACACAAAATCATATCACCATGATCCCCATATATTATTTAGAATCAGGACAGAATTTCAGCATTTCTAAGAGCCTTTACATTTTTATTAAATAATTAAGAATTGCACATCTGCTCATCATGGGCCACTAAAACTAAGAAGGTGCCCGTCCATAAGGATCTAAATTATGGTACGGGTCATAACTACAACTGGAATGCCCATTAATGGCAAAAAAAAAGGACATGAAAATAGTCAAAATGCCTTGCAACATTGTACCCAAAAAAACAAACAAGGAGACATCATGAATGCACATAAAACAAAAATGAGATTTCACGAAAGCTTACAGTATCTGCGGTTGAACGTCCATACTGAGTTTGGGATTCAAAATATTTTGGGTTTATATGTATCCCATGAGGCGGTCGAGGAGATCCAGAAGCCTTTAAAGAACTCGAGACGGAAGGTAGACCATTTACAGAAGGGGACAACTGCAACTGTGCTTCAATCTTTTGAAGTACTGACAATGGGAACACTGTAGACCATGTACCAAATAAGTGGCGCATTGCCTGGTGCATACTGGGATGGACTTGTACATAGGCCTCAGCGAAAACCTTCAGCAAATAGAAAGAACATGGGATTTCACGGCATGTCAAAAACCACATAAAGCAGCAAGAAGTCCACTGAATCTGAAGCATTAATAATAAATATATAATTGAAATCACCTCAGGTAGCCGGGAAGCAAAGTATTTACTGTATTCCTTGCCTATGTTCTTCACAATACTGTCCAAAAGATACAGAGAAGGCAGTTTTTGATCAACTGGAACCTGGTGAAAACAGTTGTCAGAAGATAAATTAGAATGAAGAGAGTGTACGGGCCTTAACTTAAGAAGAGCATCAAACAAAAATTAAACATTCATAATCTTCTCTTATGCGAGTTTATAACCACGAAAAACAATGAGATGACGCAAAATTAATAGAACTTAAGCAAAATGAATAACTTTAACCCACATTTGATTCAAGAACACTACCACTACCTTCAAAAGAAAAGAAAAAAAGAAAGCATAAGATATCGAAAGGAAAAAGACTGGCATGATCCTATCCATCAGCAGAAGTTACCAGTAAGTAAAGTATCACAACGAGAACAGCATTATACATCCTTGGCCTCAACCAAGGAGCAACAAACACACAACGCAACACGTGTCGGAAACTAGAATATAATTAGGGCTCACATTTCATAAGAATTGTAAAAAGCTAAACTACAACTAATCAACACAAGGCCCTGCGACAATAGGAAAAAAAAGCTGTGCAACCCAAACCTTCAAGTTGTCAATCATTCTCCCAACCGAAAAAAAAAACAAAAAAAAAAAAATACAGGTCAACTCTACCCTATATTTTTTTTCCACAACCAACTACATAATACATATTCCTTGGGGGGAATAGGAGACCAGTCTAAGAAGCAAAACTTTTCTGGGGAAAGATACTGGTTTTGTTTCATAACATCAAGCACAGAAAGCATAATCAATGGATGTTACATCCGAATCAAACTAGTTTTCATTTTAATCTGCCAAGATGTTACAATGGTTGATGAATGTGATATCTCGGTTAGCATGAATCCCACTGCCAGGCCAGCAGATTTCAGTACCGGCAAGGTGCCCTCAAGATGAGTTTCACAGAGAAATTCAGGTGCCCTGAAGATGAGTTTTACAGAGAAATTCAAGAAAATACAACAGAATACACCAGTACGAAAGCCAGGATATTGAGTCCACCTTTATTTGGTCAAATGAGCAAATTAAGGCTTCTTAATGTGGATGCTCCCTCGTTTTTATGAGGAAAAAGCAAGCACATAATTTAATATGCATGATCTGTTAACTATTGGCATTATATCATTCACCAAGCACTCCAGCGTGCCTTATACTTACGGGAGAAGATTGCAACTCTATTTTCATTTTCAAGTATTCAATGATGGTTAAGTGTATTATTCTTCAAATTTGCCCAAGCTTTTCATTTAAGCTGGCTCAAACGCGGAGGCTTGATTTATGTGGTCTTCCAAAATTCAATTGAACTTAAATTCATACTTTTCACTTATATACTTTGTCCAGTTACCATACATTTTTAAGGCTGTAGCTTTAATCCATATGATTAGTCAGGGTTTGTATAAATTCGAAAACAGATAAGAAACTTAATTTGCCAAAAAAAAAAATGAAACAAAAAAAAAAAACAAGGAATTCAACTTATATGAAACATTCTGCACTATAACTGGAAGACAACTCCAATACATTTGATATCACAAACAGTAAGTAAATTACAAGAACTACGGTCGAGTATTCCAGGAGTAACCCTAATTTGCTATACCTCAATAATCCGAGCACAAATAGCATCGGCGATACCTTCGCCATGCGCCCTCTGCTCTCCAGCTATTATGGTGAGATCAGTGATGATAGGCTTCGAATTAACTGTGAGCTCAGACAAAACAATCTCATAAATTCGCACAATTTCATCCGTGCTCAAGGGCAAAACGACCCCACCATTATAAACCCTAAGTTTTTCCTCTCTCTCCTTCACCATGGCTCGGAATCGATCGAGGATTAGGGGCGGCAGCGGCTTCATCCCGACACCATCTCCCGGAATAGGGGGAGGCTTGGCTAGGCCACCGCTGGTCAGTGGCAGAGGGTTCTGAAATCTCGAAGTACGGTCCATCAACGCAGAGATTAAGGGGAACGAGGGGTTTTAGCGCTCGCCCAGTGCGGGACGCAATCAAAATTAGGGTTTTGAACCGCCGCACGAGTTACAAACGGAAGGAAAGAAAACACGCGGGAAGGCGCGGCGTATGGCGCGGCGACGAATGCTTGCACGGTGGTGGGAAAGAGCGAAAGTAACAGAAGAGCAGGAAAAGAGGCAACCAGAGGATAAATAGAGGCGGTGTGAAAAGGATGAACCTGAGCGGCTGGTTAATAAGGCCAGGCAACGGAGAGCGACAGAGATTCCGATCTGCGGCGAATACGGCGGAGCAATGCGAAAGGGCGATGGAGAATGGTGGCCGATTGGGGGTTTTGAGGAGGACACGATGTTCAACTGCTTGTACTTATATCATAGTTTTTTTAACTCGGCCCAAGAATCTGGGCAGGTCTCCAGGTCACCGGGCAATTGCTGAACCGGATAATTAATTTTAAAATTTTTTAAAATTATATATAGAGTATTTTGACATATAAATATACATAAAAGTAACAAAATTAAATATTTTGTATATAAAATTTGTACTTTAATAATATATATTTAATGATAAATATCTATCATATAAATATATATATATATATATATATAGTTTCTTTTACAAAAACAAAAAAAAATTCAAAAAATAAAAAAATATATATTGGATTCGGGTCAACTGGGTTGACCCATCCGGGTCAATGAGCCGGGTCGAGCAGGTCAAGGCCAGGTTGGCCGGCTTTTGATCGGGTCCCTTGTTGCCCGGTCCAATTAACCCACCCGGACCAGTTATGGCTCCGGGTCGACTCGTCGGGCCGGTCCGAGTCTCAAAACTATGCTTTATATGATTTGCCTGCCTAATTTAAATTTTCATTATTTTCAACATACTAGGTTTCATTAAAGAGTTAATTGGACTTAAATCCTCAATCAATAGGGGCGAATGAAAATTGGTTATGACTCACTTTTACTATAGAGTGTGTGATTGGATATCAAATTGCTTTTGGTTTTGTGCAGGCCCACAAGTTGTAACCTTCACGCATTTCCGTCTTTCCCACACCCCAACGCACCAACATCACCTGCACACATTCATTAAGATGCTTTTTTTTACTTCTTTTTCCACATTTCAAATTCAATTAACTGGAAACCTTTCCGTACATGATCAACTCCAAGATTTTTCCTCATAAATTGGATTGTATTCAGCTTTGCATCTTATGGATCTCTCCCCTCGACGAAATCATCAGGCGAAATCAGGTGAAGCCGACGCCGAACCAAGGACCGATTTGCCAGGTCAAACACAACTGAAAACACCGGTAGCGTCTCCGTCACATCTCCGAAAAAAAAAAAACTCTGGCCAACAGAGGTAGAGCATACTCCTCTTCTCCTTATTTTTTTTTTTTGTATGATGGAATTTTTTGTTTAGCCGCGCCTCCAAATTTAATTTTGTTTCTATGGAAAAAAAAGATACGGAGCACATTTTTTTAGTTATGAAATTGTTTTTGATATGTTATACAGGCATTGTTGAAGTTTAGTATGTTTTAGGTTACAATCCTTTGCTATAAAATTGGGACTAGATAAATGGAGGGTAAACTGAGGCCACCCAAAAACATGTTCATGTTATTTCTGGGTTCGTTTATTGTAGGAACATAACTGTAGGATAAATTTGGATGTCCAGTTCATAGTATTTTTACTGAGGGCATACATCTGACCATATTTCTTTTATGTTGTTCTTGTGTTCAATGTTTACGAAATATGTTAGGTTAGTATTGAATCTCCAATTCGCAGTAAAGGCAATTTGTGATGTTACCTTTTATTTTTGGTGTTTGGAATGTAGAAGAAATATGATTGTCTATATCTCGATTTCTACAATTCATTTGTACGTATCAAGCATAGCGTACCACATTGTATTTGTTTTGTTATCTGACATAAGACATAATTGTAGATGTCATGTACGGGTGGTATTGGTACTTCAACTGGTAATAGTCAAGGAGACGCGAAAAAGGCCTCCCAAAAATGAAGTTGCTTTTGTGAATGTTCTGTTGGAAGAAGTTTAGTTGGGAAACTGTGTAACCTGTAAGTTCACACCCAATCAATGGGCGACCATTCTTGGGAAGTTGAAAGAGCAGTGTCCTTCTTTCTATCCTTGTAAAGTCATACAACTGCAAAGTAAGTACCAACGAATGAAATTCTATTGGAGAAGGTTTCACAACATGGTTACCAATGCCACCAGATTGAGTTAGGATTCAAATAAAAAATGATTACAGGAAGCGCTGAAGGTTGGGAAAAATGAACAAGCGTAAGTATTTTTTTATGGTTGGTTATAACATACAATTGTTTTCTATGTTGAATTGATTATCTCACAAGTGTTCTTTGCTTCAGTTCTTTTCAAAATATTATTGTGGCTTGCACATCTATTTTTATTGCATTTTTTTTAAAGATAATTTGATTTGAGCTTGTACCTATAATTCGTCTCTTGCACATATAGTTTTTGCTTTATAATGAATGTGATTTTTTTACTTTGCAAATTGATATATGGCCTATACTACTTCTTTGTTGGGAAGTATATTTATCAACTAAAATTGTGTTGGTGTTGTTGATGTGTCATTCTTCTTTTTAAAAAATGTCATTGTTATCTGACGTGCACAGACAAATCCAAGGGGTCATGACATGGAGGGTAAGGTATGCGTGCACTATGATGCGTTGACGACTATTTTTCACGGGACCACTGCTACGGGGTCGAATGCAAGGGCATCGACTCTACGTGAGCCCGAGAGACGAGGTGAGCCATCTGGAAATTTCAACACTGATTTTGTTTGAGCAAGATGACGATCCAATGGTGACCCCGACATCTCATGGTCGGTATGGTAGGCAGAAGCGGTCGGTTCGTCCAATGAAAGGCTCGAAATCTAGTTTCGATACGACCATGTATTCGTGGTCAGACTTGAATGTATCCCTTAAATAAAGAAACAGCAAACCTCCAAAGCTAACGACCATAGAACAAGCTATGCGCGACCTTCAAGCAATGTCGGATATGGATCTTGATCTTTTCCAATTTGTGTGCAAGAAGTTTCGGGATCCCACCAATCGAGTAATGTTTGCCGCGATTAATAGTGACGAGAGACGTCGTCTTATTATTAAAATGTGGATTGATGAGTGAAGGGGGATGGTGAAGTTTATTTGTCTTTATTTCTTGTTGGATTTCTCTATCTTCATATTCTCTTCTAGTGTACTCTATTTAACTTTGTTTCCAAGCTACATTTGCTACTGCATGATCATGTTATAATTTGTTTTTGAACATTTGTATGTTTGTTTTTAGCAAATACATTTATTTGTAGGATGTCTTACGTAGACGATAATGACACATATGAGGAGGAGATCGATGATTTGCCTGAAGACATTGATAGTGCTTTGGAGCCGGTCGAAGACTATGATCCCTTGGAAATATAGTTCATGGTGGGGGTTCAATTTCAACAACTTGTAAACATTTTCGAGAGTTCGTCGTCCACATTTCCCCCATTAAGGAGAACCCCCTACCGAGTATCCACCTACACGGGTTTGGAGTGGGTAAATGAACTGTTAGTTGGAAACCCTCGCCGATTTAAAGATACAATGGGCATAAATCAATGTCATTTTAGCATCCTTTGTGACGAAATCAAAAGGACGAGATTCCACAAAAAAAAAAAGACAACAAAAAATAGGCATTGAAGAAAGCGTAGCCATTTTTCTGCATACAATAAAAGGGCATCAAAGGCAACGCCGTGCGGCTGAAACATTCAGAAAATCGGGGGAAACAATCAGTCGTCATTATCACAAAGTCATCAATGCTCTTTGTTATCTCGCCCCCGACTACATTCGTCCCCTAGACTTCAATCGTGTTGCACCGTGGATAAGAAATAACCGCAATTTATATCCGTACCTCAAGGTAAATAACACTATATTTTTTAATGTGTCCTACCGTTTAGTTGAACAAAAGCACTTCTATTGTTGAATTTGTAATTGCTATTCGTAGGACTTCATTGGCGCAATTGACGGCACTATCATACTGCGTGGGTGCCGGAAGTATTAATATTCGTTTAATTTATGTTATTTTAATTTTTTTACCGCATACGTAATTAAACTTACCCGAAATTGCAGCTTATTCCGATTAATTTTTGGCGATCCCATGTTGTAAATGTGCCCACCGACTTAAGTAGAGTAATTTTGGACTTTGAGGAGAGCAGACATGAATTACAAATTGTTCAAGGCCATGGA